CAGCAATTAACCACTAAGAAGAATATATGCAGTGTATTATTTGTTGAAAAATAAAAAAATAAATAAAAACAAAACAAAACAACAACAACAACAAAAAATGATATTCCCTTAACAGCTTGTTACTATTGAACTTGATGAGGTGGAGTTAGAGATTGTATATTAATTTATTGACATTGAATAATTTATTCAAAATCCATAAGCATTTGAACCTGACTCAATTTTTTATTCCTGTGGTCCTGGGTATTGAGCCAAGGTGCTCAGCACCGAGCTACATCTCCAGCTCCTTTTGTTTTTTCATTGTGAAATAGGGTCTCACTAAGTTGCCCATTTGCTGGCTGGCTTTGAACTTGTGATCCTCCTGCCTTCAGCCTCCTAGAATGCTGGGATCATAGGTGTGTGCCAGTCGTGCCAGCTCCAGACTCAGATTTTTAAGTCATTTCTTAGAAATCATGTAAGTTGGATTTCTATATGCTGAAAGAAATTTAGCTTCCAAATGAATTCAGCACGTTATTGAAGATGAGAAAGTCAATCCCCCAGAAAGGGATGTTGTACATAGTGCGAGATGGCAACATAAACCAGGATAAGCTCGGAAATTGACAGCTATGGTCAGCACACTGCTCTCCGCTTGCTCTTCTGTGCTGAAGGTTGTTCCGTTGGTTGGTTGATCCTGCTGTACTGAGGACTGAACAGAGCGAGTCTTTACACTGAGTTACACCTTCATCTCCTTTTAAGATTTGTATTGATTTAATTTCTCTTGAAATAGAGTCTCACTAATTTACTAGCTTGTGCAGATTGTACTCAAACTCACGATCCTTCTGCCTCAGCCTTCCACAGTGCTGGGATTATAGAAGGGCACCACGTGGCCTGGCCGGTATGTGTGTGTTAATGCTGCGCTCAGTTAAGAGCTGTCAAACTTAATTCTAAACTACTCTGTTGCTCTCTGAGCTGTCTTTCTGTAGTCCTCAGTGGCATTTCCATGAATTCCTTCTCCCTGCACAGGACATCAGCCCCTGTTGCCCAAGCCAGAAAGCTGAGTGTGATGCTTTCCTTTTCTCCCTCCTTGATTGCAGTGCAGCTGTTCTGTTAGGCTGGTCTGGCCGCTACCTGGTCACCCCACCTCCTGCCCTGGGTCCTTCTCCAACTCACCCTTCATACAGCATCAGCCCTGGATGTGTGTCCAGAATGGTGTTTGACTGGAGTAGGTCTCAGGAATATTTCAGGAGTGAATGAATGAGATCTGAGGGGCTGGCAGAGCCGCGTGACCTGGTGAGTCAATGAAAGGAGTTTGATTTTGCTCTGAGAGTCACTGAAAACCGTCAGAAGGTTTCAGATAGGAAAGTGTCCGCTTGTGTGCGCTGTAGGTGCCCTTCAGCTCTAGGTCCTCTGGCACATACTCATCTGCGGTCAAACAAGTTGGGTTTATTAACTCCTCGCAGTATGTGTATTATGGGGAGCTGTAGGAGTTATGTGGGGACCTAAAACATCCACCAAAAGTCTCATGTCTGTGGAAGGTGGATAGATCATGGGAATACCACAATCACTAGTGGATGCACGTGTTGATGAGTGTAGTATCTGCGTGTGCCACTAAGGGATGGAACCTGGTGGGACGTGAGTCACTGTGGATGTGAGCCGCAGGGTGGATTCTTGTGCTGGACTCCTCCTCCCTCTGTTTCCTGGCCCATGGAATGGGCAGTTTTTTCCTGCCATTCATTTCTGCCTTAGAGCCAGCTGAACACATTGGAATCATGAGCCACATAAACCCCTACCTTCTCCTTTAAGTTGTAGGGGTTGGCTGTACTTGTCCCAGTGATGGGAAAGTCCCAGAGTGTCAGAAACGAGGGACTGGGTTAGGGAGATAGTTTAGTGATATAAGTGCCTGCCTGACAAGCACAAGGACCCGAGTTTGATCCCTGGAACCACATGCTGTGCTGGCCCTGGGTTCCTGAATGCCCTATGCCAGCCCCGAAACCTAGCATGGTGGCACACACCTGTAATCCCAGTGCTGGGGAGGCTGAGACAGGAGGATCACTATGAGTCCAAGCTGCATAGTGAAATCCTATATCAATAAATAAAATTTAAAAAAGTAAAGAAATGAGAGACTTTGGCTTTATACTAGGTGGTTCTGGAGAAGGTTCAAAGAGTGAGCTTTGCCTCAGGTCAGGGCTTGGTGCTATCAGAAGGAGGGGTGGTGATTCTGTGGATGGACTTTATTTTTGGGCAAGATTGAGTTTTGAACCCAGGGTCTTGCACATGCTGGAAAGCACTCTACCACTGGACCACTTTCAGTCCTAGAATTTTTAATAAATCTTACCTTGAAAGTAGGAGGAATAAATAGCGAGGCTAAAGCTATGATGGGTAAAGAAGTAGTAATAACTCCTACAAGCCAAGATAGAAGGCTGTTTGGCCGTTTCTGTGGTCCACTTAAATGCTTATTCTACTGAGCTATCTCCTTGTTGTCTGTATCTATTGTGGTCACAGTCTCCCTGCCTGTTGCTGCTCTGGGATGCATTCACTGGACACGAGGACACCGGAGTCTCAGCTGTGAGTGCCAGGCTGGCCCTCAGCTTCCGGGGGCTAATTTTTCTTCTCTCAGTGTTACTAAGATAAAGATTCATAATGCCAGCACTCAGAGTGACCAAAGCAGGGGGTTCCTAAGTTGAAGTCCAGGTTGGGTAACTTAGCAACTTAGCGCAGGCTTGTCTCCAAATAAAAATCTAAAATTGCTGGAGATGTAGTTCAGTGCAAAGGCCTTGGTTTTTCTTTTCTTTTTTTAAAAACTTAATTCATTTTATTTTTCTTGTTTAAAAACCCTTTGTTTTATAGCTACTACTGGAGCTTGAGTCCTCTGGACAGAAACTCTGGTGTGCATTTTCACAAGATGGTCGGTGAATTCCTGATAGGGAGACTTGGTGAAAACAGTCTCTTTCCAGAGGTCAGGGGTCAGATAACTGTAGGTCTTGGAGATGGCATCAAAGGTGGCCTTAGCAAAGTTGCCCAAAGTAGCAGTGCAGCCCCTAGCAGAGGTGTAGCAGTCAGCAATACCAGCCATCAGCAGCAGCTTCTTGGGCACAGGGGCTGAGACAATGCCAGTGCCTCTAGGGGCAGGGATCAGACGCACCAACACAGAACCACAGCGGCCTGTCACCTTGCAAGGAACAGTGTGGGGCTTGCCAGTCTTGTTCCCCAGTAGCCTCTCCTCACAGGGACAATGAGCTCAGGATAATGGGGCTTGGCCAGGATAATGACCACAAATGGCAGTGGCTACTTCCTTGGAACACTTTACATCCAGGCCAACATGACCATTGTAGTCCCCAATGGTAACAAATGCCTTGAACCTGGTCCACTGGCCAGCATGAGTTTGTTTCTGCACAGGCATGATCTTCAGACTTCATCCCTGAGGGATGTGCCCAGGAAAAAGTCAATAATCTCAGACTCCTTGATGGGTAAGGAAAAAAGGCAAATTTCCTCCAGGGACTTGATCTTCATGTCTTTGACCAGCTGGCCCAGCTTGGTGACAGGAATCCACTCTTTGGCCTTGGGAGCCTTGTAGCTTTGGCCCCGACCCTGGCCTCTGCCATGCCTGCGACCTCGAAGGCCACTGCCGAAGCCTCTGCTGAAGCTGCTGCGGCCTCCCTTGCCTGGGCCCCAGGGCCTCTGGCCCCTCCTGCTACACTGGTGTTGTCTGCCATTTGGTGTGTCCCAGAAAAAGAAGCTACTTTTTTTCTTTTAAAGATAAAGAATAGATACAGTGAATTAGGACAGGCACTGTTGCAGAAATCCAGTCCAGATAATGGTGTCTTACATGAGCGTAACAGGAAGTGGTGAGAAGCAAGGGAATGCAAGACTTATGTGTGATTATTCCACACTCAAACCATACGGAGCCTTCCAGCTCCCTGGAGGGACAACCCTGCCGTACCTGGCTCTCCCTGGGGGAAACTTCCACAGCCCCTTTTCCACCTCCACCACCAACAAAGCCCTGTCCACTGATATGATCTATGCCTCATTCTGAAAGGTGAGTTCTTCCAGAAGCCTTTCCCACCCCCTGCTCTGTGCTTCCATAATATCTCGTTGCTTCAGTATTTGTCAGCTTTCCAGCACTATGATAAATACCTGAGATAATTGACTTATAAAGAAGAAAGGTTTATTTTAGCTCACAGACTTACAAGTTTCAGCCTGTGATCAGTTGGCTTTGGGCTGTGGTGGTGTGTCATATGGGAGGATGTGGCAGAGCAGAATGGCTCATCTCATGGGCAGGAAGCAAAAAAATAAGAGAGAGGAAGGGGAATGGAGCGGATCCCCTATTACTTTCAAGGGCACACTCTCCACGACCTAGGACCTCTTGCTCGGCCCATCTCTTAAATATTCTACTCTTCCCAACAGTTCCATGTTGGGAAGCAAGCCTTTGCTGCATGGCTTAGGGGCATCACTCAAGGCCTAAGCCATTGCAGCTCTATCATAGCTTAGTTATATGTACCCTGCTGGGCTGCACTGCCTCCAGGAAGGAGTGGTGAGTTCTCACTCACTGTGGCTCCAGCTCCCTTCGTAGAATAGATCCTTAATGAACACATGCGAGGTGAGTCAACGCTTTGCTCTCTCTCTCGCTTTCTCTAGACTGGCTTCCAGCCAGCCTCGGCACATTCGCTGCTGTGAAGGCCTGCTGCGATTCCAAACGAAGCTGCCTTTTCTTTTGAACACACTCGTCAAGTAATGCATTCCTGGCACAGCAGTGTACATTCAGATTCTTTGAAAATTAAATCCATAAACCACTGAAATAGCAGAAGCAGCTCTGGGACACTATTATGAGGTGTCTGTAAGTGCCTGGGCTGTGAAGGGCTTCTATCTGATTTGTGAGGAGAGTCGAGAAGTTATTTGCAAGATTTACACCCCTTATGATTCATAGGCCCAAATTAGTCTTTTGTTTAGTTGTTCACCTATTCAGCCACTGATTTTCAAGATTCAGGGCCAGAGATTGTTCTAGAATATTCTGGACCTATAGGAATGAAAACACAGACAAAATTTTTGACCCAGTGGGACTTACATTGTAAGGAACGAGAGAGGCCATAAAAAGATACAGGAATAAAAATTTAGAGAATGTGAGAAAAATGGAAATGGAGGCATATACAATATTAGGGGGAAGTTATGCTTTAGATGTCTCCCAAGAGCCTCCTGCACTCAGGGACAGGCTTTTGAAGGATGATTGGAGAGTGCAGGCCTGGTGTGTGAGCGAGACCGCCCAGGGCCCGCGGATCCTGAATAGACCCAGAGCCCAGGCCCAGTGTGTGAGTGAGACCACACTGAGATTCTCATTCGACCCAGAGTGCAGGCCCAGCGTGGAACCCTTCAGCAGAACTCCCTGCAAAAAAGCTAGAGGCAAGACCTACCCAGCTAATTCAGGAGCAGAACGTCTTGCCAGAGTGACACAAAGGGTTCAACTCCAATGGCTGCAGCAGGAAGAAGTTGAGCACAGCAGCCAGACCCCAGCCAGATTCAAGCAACACCCAGCTGGAGGAATCTGAACTTCGTAGATCTGGACTTGGTGCTAAGGTAATAACTCTGTCTAAGCTCTACACCAAAAGTCAGAAGACAGTGGTATACAAAATGACAAAGAGAAGGAACAAAATGCAGTCTCAGGCTCTGAGTCCACCCAGTACAAATGCAGAAGACACTAGCATAGAGGAAAAAACTGAAAATCACACACCTGAAATCTCTGAAATAATAGTGTTGGAAGTCAAGAAACAACTTCAGAAATGTATAGAGGAAATCAGGTCAGAAATAATTTCTGAACTAAGAAAAGTAGTGATAACGATAACAAAGAAGTGCTAAGTGCTTCTAAAGAATACACTGATAAAAAAATAGAGCAGAATATAAAAATGATGGAACCCTTGAATAAACAATTTAGGAAAGAAATAGAATATAAGAAACAGATTCAAAGTGATATACAGGAAATTAAAACCTCAATCACAAGCTGGCAAAACTGTTTGAGTGAAAGTGAAAATAGACTTTCTGACCTTAAAGACACCATTGCAGCTAGTGAAGAAGTAAGAAAAGATCTCTTCAAAACAACTAGGATGTAGGAGAAATTATTCAATACCTGCAAGATGATGCAAAGATGAACAATGTGAGACTAATAGGCATCAATGAGAAGGAAGGAGTCAATACAAATGATATAAAAAGCATATGGGCAGAAGTAATAGCAGAAAACTTCCCAAATATGGGGCAACAATCTGACATTCCTGTAACTGAAGCATATAGAACTCCAAATAATATCAATCCAGTGAAAACCACACCCAGACATATAATAATCAAGATCTCAGAAATTCAGCACAGGAACAGTATCCTAAAAGCTGCTAAAGAAAAGAAACAGATCACATTTAAAGGAAAGCCCATCAGAATAACGG